CTTTTGTCCAATCACCATTGATTGAATTCATATTTTGAATGACATTTGTAGTTTTCTTTCTCTATCATAGACAGGGAAAATTATTGATCAATCGAATTAAACATACCGACAGAAAAGTTAATCAAATGATATGAATACTTTTAATACATTGATTTGTAAGTGTGCCAAACAGACCCCCATCCACTCCTTTGGAAAATATAGAGATATAAAAAAGAAAAGTATCACTCACTGTCAAGAAGGGAATAGAAATTCATTTTTGTTCTTAATCAGTGTTTGTTTAACACCTCCAATTTTTACTGAGATATATGGGTTCCTCATTTTTTGCTTTCTCATATCCAACGAAATCGAATGCCCCGCAGTCAAGTCAATATATGATTGGAGAGTATCTATAATTCTATTCTAAGCTGAAATCAGATACTTAAGGTGGTCACCCTCCTTCCAGTAGTGAATGTCGCTTTACAAAAAATAAACCAAATCAGCGAAGGTGTGGTGCCTGATTGTGTTCAACTTTTAATTATCACCTTGTATGACGAATGATTTATTTTTTTGTAATTCATCTTTATTAACGTTATCGACTGAAATTACATCCGACATGAAACATAGATTTGATAAAATATGGAAAGATCAGCTAGAACCAGCCGAGAATTATATGTATGTCTTCTATTATTTACTTTTAGACTCGGTAATTAGCCAGAAATCTGATCTTGTGAAAACGTCTCATTTAATGTAAAATATCAAACTTGAAATTAAGACAGCTAACTCTACGAGGTCATCAATAACATTCTAAACAACACGCATTAAGTGGCCTTCATATTAGCAGGAGCTAGGAAATGTATACGAAAGAGCAGTAACGACTATAACATCATTCCAGAAATAATTTACCCTTAGAATCAATACAATATAATGTACAGGTTACAAGGAACATTTAAGTGTAAAATGTTGGACACGTCATTCACAGTCCACATTCTTATTTCTTTCAGAAAATATGGTAGGCGAACATGGTCATCCAAACTAGCAAGCTGTAAATGTATGTTGTCTTTGATTTTATTGGTTCTGATGCCGAGAACAGTAAGGTATGTGTTTGACTTTTTTTTTGTTTGTCAAAACTATATATGTGCATATGATACCATGTAACACCTTACCTTGTATAAATACATAGTAAATACGAGGGGCATTTGAAAAGTTCTGAGAACTGCTTGCAAAAATATTAACCATTTCACGGAAGTTAATAAGTTTGATACCATTGAAAAGAGCTGGAAAATTTGCACTTATATTTACGTAATTTTCTTACATTTATGACGTAATAACTCCAAAAATGACGTCAGAATCTCGAATGTTTGGCATACTGAAAAGTCGCGTTTTTTGTCAACATGAGAGGATTGAAAAAGTGCTGTCAAAGGCTTATTTGAAAGGATATTTCAAAGAAAATTTGCATGGAGGTAGAGTAAGACTGTAAGAATGGTACGGTAAACCAGCAATTCCATATTTTTTTTTTGTTTTTTTGTTTTTTTTTTTTTTTTTTTTGCTTGATTAATAAGCACGGTAATGTTATCATAGGCATTCATAAAAGATTTATATATATATATATATATATATATCAAAGCTGGATTTTCAGTCAATTACAATGTATATAGCTCTCCACTATATTAAAAAAAGATATTCTATATAAAACTGGTGTGTAACAATGCTGTTTTCCACAAATGTATCTTGAGTATAAGGACCCTTACCGTCTACGAATAAGACGTACAAAAGTCTTCCCCCGGACTTCTTTTGTGCGTATTTTTTCATATTATTTCAACTTCGGCGATCCAAAACTCACTATTCCTTTTGACTTTCGACTCAAAAAAATTCATCTGAATTCCATTACCATGTACAATCTTATTTATTCTCCATGATTTAAAAAATTCGAACATATCGAGTTACAGTGGGGTCAGAACTACACCGGCGCCATTTTGGTTTTTACGAGAAAATATAGGACACCATTAGCTTAACCTCTCTTGAGCTTTAATCGTTCCCGCAAAATTGGTTAAAACACCTGACGAATTAATGCCAGCAAACTCTGTAACACCGTCCACTATTCTCCTGTGACTGTCAACTTTGTGATTTTCTCACAGCAACGTCTTTTTTACCCAATATTTTGCTTGAGATTCGATAATAACATGCTATGTTTGACACACTCTTAAACCATCTCAGAACTATAGGAGCCCCTGAATATAACTTCTTATGATAGACCGTAGTCTATGTAAACATTTTTACAACTGGCAGTTGTGTCCGTTAGCGTGCATCCGAGTAATGAACAAAACTGGACTTTAAAATTTTATTTCACTGAAATTGTGTCTTTTGTTACGTCATTTTTTATGGTCAGTATGCTAGACATTCGAGATTCTGACGTCATTTTCGGAGTTATTACGTAATAAAAATTACAAAGTGACGTCACAATATGTGTATATTTTTGTGATCTGTCCAATGGTATCAAATTCAGTAACTTCCGTTAAATGGTTAATATTTTATCAAACAGTTCTCAGAACTTCTCAAATGCCCCTCGTACTTTAATCAAGTGATAACGGTGTACACGTCTGTTTATGAACAATCAGATGCCATTTATGTCCTAAAGCAAAACAGCAAATTGAAAATCATCGAAAAACATTTAAAGCAGCTGACAAGATACATGTATCGGCCCCCCTCCCCCCCCCCCCTTTAAGCAATGTTTTACGGAATAGATCAACTCGAGCATTTGCGATCAGAAACTACATAGAAAACTTACATAGAAACTTTACTCATGTTTTTGAGGTCTTTAATTATGTTCCCCAAACCAAATTTGGGAACATATTGTTTTTACTTTCTTTTTTAAAATTTCTTTTCCGGTTCTTTAATATTTTTTTGTCCGCGAGTATTCTCGGAAACTAAATGAAACTAGATTGAGATGAAACTTTTTAGGGTTAATAGGCATGATGTGTAGCTGTGCGGAACGAAAGTCATTTTGCGCGCAAATGCATGTGCGTGCTCGCGGATGCGATGAGTGAAATGACTGATATACTTATACTTATACTGATATAGCCATAACTTTTAATATTTCTTGATGGATTGCTTTGAAACTCAGAACATAAAGATACATTAGTACATGTAGTCAATACAAGATGACATGGTCAAATTAGCATGAACCCACGCGTATGCACATGCGCTTCACTTTGATTGGCTGATACAAAAATCTGAATAACTTCTTTGTTATTTGACAAAATACATGTACTTTGAGATTTAAAATATAATTTTTCATTATAAGGTTCTACAACATGTTATATGGGAAATTTCTTGAAAACACGCGCATGTATGTGCGCTGCAATCTGATTGGCTGAAACTTAAAATGGCTACATCTCCCTTGGTTTTCAACAAAAAGAATATACATTATAATATAGATTGGCACATTGGGCTCCTACATTGTGATACTATCAAAATTGAATACAAAATCGCACGTGTCTTGAATTCTGATATGCTAATACTTAAATGGCTATATATCTTTTATTTTTAAATGTAATTCTTTGACATTTAAAACAAATGTATATATTCTGCGACTCTATAAGAAAATTTATGTGAAAAATGTAGAAAACCGGTGCAAGCACATGCGCTGAAATTTGATTGGCTAATACCCATATGGCTATATCGGAGTAGTTTTCCGATAAAACACCCTGAAAATAAAGTCTCTATCTATATTACAAAAGTATTGCTTAATTCAATAAAGATTGTAACAGTAGGGAATGGGGCATCATAAGGGATTGGATATCCGTTTTGGGAACATCTGTACCGGTTCACTTTACAATTAGCACTATTTCCTGTTATATTTTTGTTAAGAAAGAGCAAGGGCCACTTAGGGCCTTTTTTGGCCCTGTAAATTTCTGAAAAATTAAAACTGCATAGTTTTAGTCGACAAGGCAATAAATATCACTTGAAAACTTGGTGTCTGAATTTCTACTAAAAATGACGTAATTTTCTTGATAGTCAATGCATTATGACGTCATGAATTGCGTCAATATTCACATATCCCGAATATTTCTTCAAAAATGGCCAAAATATGATGCTATTTTTCAATATTTCGTATACAGCACAACCTCCGATCAAAAATGTGCAAATATATTACGAAAGAACTGCTTATTAAGATTATAAAATATATTTTAATTTTTGGATCGAGGGGTGTGCTTATATTTTAATTCTTTGTTGAAGGTTCTCAAATTTACCTGTTTTCTGCAAAATTCAAGAACATTGCAATTTCACACAACCTGTTTTCGAGTACCTGAACTCTTTAGAGGAAACTTTTGTATACAAACTGAAAGCGCCAAGTCTCTACTTTATATTGATGTTGAGAAAGGGACATAGTGTGTTAGTGGATAAATTGGTTTATCTACAGGGCCATTTTATGCATAAGGTGAACCTAGCTCTTTATGTCTTCTTGAATCTTGAGCAATCCCATAAAGTCAAAGATAAGTTAGTTTCAAAGGGCAACCAAGTAAAGTGAATTCGATTGCTTTGCTACGATATAAACAGACTATCTGATACTGGCGAAAATGACTAAATAAATTGTATCCTCTATGTTTCGTTTCGAGTTAAATAAAATTAAAAGCTCTAGAGGGTCCCCGTCATATCAGTTTACCTATATGTCTTTTGGGAATTGATTAAAATCTGAATTTTTGTTAGGCAAATATGAATGAGCTAGTCATGTCAGGTAACATAAAGGATATCGATTTTTTTAAGGTTTTTAAATTCTGTTGAAAACTTTACCTCCAATATCTTATTCAGTGTGCATTATTTGCATAAGTGAATGCACCAAGTGGGAGTTAAGTCAATAAACGTTTACAAGCATGAACTGTTGGGCTGTTATCTAAGACACATTGATTCAATAGACAAGGTACATTGAAAGTTAGACTTAGGAGTCTGTATTCTGCGTAGTTTCCTTCTTTGACCAAATAGAATGTGATTAGACAGTGCACATCTATACTTATGCGGACAGAATGGCATCATCTTCACAGGAACCTGAAGTTAACTGCAGTGATTTCACAAAATGCGCAATATGTTTTGAACAATTTAAAACACCAAGGTATCTTCCCTGTTCACACTCCTTTTGTCACGAATGTTTATCAACCCACATCGTATCTACGTGTAATTCTAAAGAAGATCCTGTTGGATTCCGTTGCCCATTGTGTCGAAACTTCATCCCAGTTGAAAATTTTTTAAATGGACCAATCAACTGGGCAAGAGAATTTCCTGTAAATGAAATTCTGAGCGAAGTATCTAAAAATCAAGAAAAAGAAAATCATTGCGATACCTGCAAACGAGATGATGAAGAGCAAGAGGCCAGTAGATATTGTTTGATATGCAAAGAAAAGCTTTGTGATATGTGTGCAAAATACCACAGGCGAATTTTGTTGACCAAAGACCACGAAGTTATATCTTTAGAAGACTTAAAGTTGTCACCTGTGGAAATCAAAGACAAAGAACATTGCTTTAAACATGCAGAGAGAAAAATAGAATTCCTTTGTAAAGATCATTTTGTACCGTGTTGCACAATGTGCATTTGTGTAGAACATAGGAAATGTAGCAAAATAGGAACTATCAAGGAGGCTGCGGAGAAAGTAAGAAATGGGGAGTTTGACAATCTCGTAAAAGAAGTTATAAAACTGGAAGACGAATTAAAGGGCATAAAAAGTAAACAAGAGGAAAACATTACACAACTAGAAGCCAACACCGAAGAGGTGTTTAAACTCACTGAATCTTTGTTTTCCAAAGTCCAAAATCACATCGAACGGTTGAAAAATGATTACCTTAACAATCTGTCGTCAAAAGCTAAAGAACATAAAGAGGCATTAAGAAGAAATGCAGAATCTAACAGCGAGAGAATTACGTATCTGAAAGAGGTTGTAAACTCACTTGAAAGCCTGAAAGACGAGTTGAATGAAGCTACGTATGTTGCAGAATTTCATAAAAGTAGTCAGAAATACAAAAAATTAAAAGAGAATCAGACTAAAAACAGAGCTATGCTATTTAAGTTGGCATCTTCTTTTGAAAGTAAGATAATAGAGATTGAAAAAGTCAAAATATTTGGTGACTTTTACTTTACCGCGGACTATATTCATGCTCAAAAAAATATCAAGACAACGAAACCTGCAACATGTGACTGGACGGGTCTTCCGAAAAAACCTCCCCCAAAACTCCACAGATGAAAAAAGTTTACGGATCTTGTGGATCTTTATCATAAAAATAAAATTCCGAAATTCACGTGAATTGTAAGGTCAAAGACACTACTGTTATATACATATACAAGGATATAGTTGTTGCATTTATGCTTTTTTGCATTTAATGACGAAACATTATTACATTGCTTTTAAATATACGAGGGGCCATCAAAGAGTAAGTTTCACGAATGCCATAAAAATTTAAACCGCTTAGGGTATGAATATTTGCATATTTATTTAACATCATCTTCTCTGTATACATAAAATAAAAATCATGCATTTTATCTTTGAATGAATTGCCATTGTTTTCCTATGCGACGCTATGACCAAAAGGTGCAATTTCAAAATACGACTTATTTCTACCGATAGTCTCGCGCATTCAAATCTTTTGATATGAGCATTTGTCATCCAATAATACGTAAATACACTCATGTAATGTGACACAATTGTTCCATAATTGTTTTCAGTTTTTATCTCATTCTGTCAATTTTGTAAATTTTTTTTCTTAAATTCAATATAGAATTCTTTAATGAATTAGGGTAAAAAATGAGGTGGGATGAATGGAGGGTGCATTTGCCCCGCTATCTCTAAAGGTTCAATTTGGAAAAACCTGGCAAAGACCAAGGAGAATGTTAAAAAGGTCAAAGAGAGAGAAACACTGTCAAATTACCTGTTAAGAAAAAGGTGAAGATAGCGATCAGAGATTGATCTAAAAAAACAACTTTGTGAACATGGCATAAAACACGCAACCGGAAATTCCAGAGGTAGGATCAGGTGCCTAAGAGAAGAAAGCACCCCCTGTCGACCGGTCACACCTGCCGTGAGAATTATGTATTTATCATGTAGACGGAATATTTTGTAGTCAAATTTAGTATAAAAACAAACGCCTAACGATTGCTATGAAATGTATCAGTCAAAATACTCAATATTAGGTTATATTTCATTACAAGGTCATTATAATGACCATAAATTTTACTAAATGCTGAATTTAACGAGGTTGTTGAAATCCGTGTAAAATTAACTTATCTGTCAGTATCTGTCAGTAGCATGCATTTAAGTATCGAATACGTTGGAAAACATTAACACCATATGCAGCTGATAGGGGAATATTACTATATAAATAAGGAAAGCTGAGGATGAAAAAGCTGAAATCATCTCGTTTGTCAAACAATTTAGTTGTTAGACCCTTATCGGCAACGCTATAGTGAGTATTTAACATCCAAATATGAAACAGATGTGACAGACTTTGAGGTGACTAAGTTCGACTTCACCGATATATTGACGTACATTTAAGCAATATGAGCTGGAACTTTGATGTCGGAAATTTTTGTTGCAAATTTGTTATTAAATATGTCAATGACAAAAAAGGAACATTTATAAACTTCTGAGGTTTATATTTGCGACGGAAAAACTATTTATAAGCTTTGATAGAAGCAAAATTTCATTATTGTCGTCCAGTACAATACCGATTTCTTATAAAATACTATACATGTACATTCTTCAAAAATCTTTCGTCTGAAACAATTTAATACTTTATTTTAGTGTAATTGATCATAAAGGTGTAAGTTACATACAGATTTTTCATAACAGCACATTTTAACAGCAAATTATCAACTTATCAAACTAAAATTGTCAAAACTGCTTTGTTGTTCTACGACCCTTATGAATTTGTAAGTACAAACTACATAGTATTAATTTCATTAAACTCGTCATCTAACTACTAGTATTTCATAATACGTCGTTTTTACATGAAGCCAATAGGGAAATTTTAAAAGGGCCAACAATGTAACAAATTATAAATATATTTTCTGTAAGTTATTGCAGTAAAATATTGTCGATGTCATAGCAAATCTTCAGAGACAGAAATAAATGAGTCTCGTTGAATCTTTGTTTCGATAACTCCTTTATTATAAACTTAATGTGGTTGTCGATAAGTGGTGAAATAAATTGACTGGTATATTTTCCATAAGTGTTTGTCATAAATGTTTTGCATGTTTAGCTTAACTGAGCCACAAGTTCAAGTGAGTTTTCTGTTCAAAGTTTGTCAGGCATGGCCTCCCTGTGCGTCTGTGTATTTGTCGAACCAGAATTTTTATTTGTATGTCAAGCGTAAAGCATAAATTTGCTTATCCAGAATTACTGAACCCATTTCAACCAAACTTGTCGCATCGCAAAGTATCCAAGGTCGGAGTGAATACACCATTTTAAAAATGAAGGGCAATGCACTTCATCAAAAAAATATGGTTGAGTCACTTAAAAATCTTCACAAGAACTTTAGTGCAAGAAAAGAAGATATTTATCTGAAAGCATCGTTGGATACCGTGGAATTTAATCTGCTCCTGCTTCTACATGAAATATATGGAGATAACGAACATAATTCAAGCTCAAAAGTCCATTAAACAATACAAATTTTGGAGCAGAGCAAACACGGACCTCTAAATCATCAGAGGTGTGATGAGGTGCCATGGAGGAGTGAGCATCCCCTGCCGACCGGTCACACCCGCCGAGTGCTCCTTGTCAAGATCGGGAAATAAGGGATATACGTTGACAATTCAGAGTGTAAATAATGGCCTAACAATTATTATAAAAAATATAAGTCAGCATTTGACTTAATGATAAATTGTATTTGCTGACAAGGTCATTGTATCGACCATAGAACTTACATGTACAATATGTACATGTAGCCGTGGTTGCATTAGACAATATTCGCGTTTTCGCGATCATGAATACAAAAACAGGTCTGCTACACCCTTTGACCTTATTTAAATTCAATTCTTTAATAATTTGTCATTCTTCCTGAATTTAAACAGACATGCATAACTAGGTCATTTTTATTTCTAAATGTAGATTATTATCTATGTGTTTATAAGTTTGAAAATCGAACACTAGTACATGTACATATTAATGACTTACATTTGTACTGTCTTAATGTAAACAAAAAAAATAACATTTAAACAAATTATTTTTGTTCCAATGATCATTTAGGTACCACGCCAAAAAGACAATGGTAATTTTTTGCAAAAGTAAACATGACAATAGCACAATGCAGTCCAGAATGCCATTTTATGATAAATTCAATCTTCTTAATCAATGAATGTCAGTGAGAAAACAAAACGAGACAAAGTTTTTTTCTACATGTACGTGTCATGTCCTTTTTAAACCTTGAATATCTCCAATATCTTATTTGGCATGTTTAATACGCAGCATTAACTGACACGGGTTAACTTTAAATCAGGACGCTGTGAATGCACCTGGATTTTTAAAATAATAAACGTTTATGTAATGGATATATGCCGAATACTGTTCTATATGTAAAATTATCAGACTGTTTAAGGCCCGTTAGGGCCGAAAACAGTCTGATAATTTTACATATAGAATTGTATGAGGCATATATCTTACTTAAAACATTGCCATTTAAATGTCCAAAAGTTACCTGAAGGAGTCCGATAACAACACAATGGGAGTTTAGGCATCTATAGTTTTCTATCTGAAACCATTAAAAGAGAAAGCGGGTTTTTTTTTTCTTTAGACAGTAAAAACAGTGAGTGAACTCTTTTGTTTCATTCATTCATTCGTTTAGTGTAGAGGAACTATCGAGTGTTTCGGTGACGAAGGAATTTTTTTATGATTCGGAATATTTTTTTATTAAGTGCGTTTGACATTGATGCAGACACAGTGTTGGATGATATCATCATGATGCATGGAAAGTAAAAATATGGGGGTTTATTTAAAGTTTTTAGTTGGGTGCTGTTATGAAAATCTCGGGTTTAAAAGTGCGGCCATCGGCGAACAAACCTCGTTAAATGACGAGATTCAAAGATTCTTTATAAGAAATGGATTAAAATTCGCTTATTTACAGTACTGTTTCGAAAACGCTTAACAAAAAACCCAATGGAAAGTGTTACTTTTAAGGAGGGTTAAAACTCGATTTTCCTCTTCATGGATTTGCATGGTATTTTGTAGCAACTTAATTTCCTTGCGTTTGCTTTCCCTGAATTTGTTTTTTCTCCAAACTTTTTTTCTGGACATAATAAACCTTGATTTCACTCTACATGTTGTTTTTTAAATACTGTCCGATTTTGTTATCACTGCCGTCCGATAATATATTATTGGACTGGTAATTATTATTATCGGACGGCTACAGGTAATTTTTTAGATTGCAAGAACCCAAAAGGGTTACATTATTGATAATATATATTACATATTAGAATTCAAACATAAGAAAAAGGTGATTCGACCCCAGATTTAAAAAGAAAAAATGGAAGGGGGCATTTTTATGTATCAGTCGAAAACGATATATTTAAAAACAGCTTATAGAGGCAAAAGGGTTACATTATTGATGACATATAGTACATATTAGAATTCAAAAATAGGAAAAGGGTGACTCGACCCCAGATTTGAAAAGAAAAAAATGGAAGGGGGGGCGGTTAATTCCCCAAGTGCCTGTGTAAGTAACGGTTTACAATGCTGTTATCTTCAGATTTTATTCGCTACTTTGCTTTCCATGTCCAACCAGTCGAATTAATGTTATATACATTGAGCGTCTTTTGACCCCCCCCCCCCCCAAAAAAAAAGAAAGATTTGCCTGTTGATTACGTCATGATCAGATAAAATTAATTTTTAGATTCTCGTCCAATTTACCCCTCTAAAAAATGTCTCGTTCGTTTGGTTTTTTTTTTCTATTCTTATACGTAAAATCATAAAATCAAGTTCAGATTTTTTTTTTAGTTATCCCCTGTCTGTATGTAAAAATAAATAAAAAAATTTTTTTTAATATATACTGAAAATACAATGTATTTAGCCGGGACGATATTTGGCTGAAATTCATTCATTAAGAAGTTATCGTAGCTATGAGCGCATTAAATATTGCTGAAAATTCTAAATAAAAACATTTCATATGTATACTTGAATAAGAGGATAACCGTTTTCCGCCAGCACGCTGAAAAAATGCACAGCCAAATGTAGGATACTTATCTACGAAAAAGAAA